CTGATACTTGTTTTATAAATATTTCTTTGGTTTTCCCTATTTATTCCTTTTGTATGTTTCTTTTCATTTAAAAATTTAATATATTACTTAGTACACAAATTTCCTTTTAAAAATAATTAAAACTTTTAGTATATGAATTTGCCTCAAATAATATCTTTGGGGGCATCCCATAATTTTCTTTTGCAGCATTTTAATTTTATTTTTCTGTAAATACAAAGAATTATTTATAAGTGTATGATATCCATTTTATTCCAAGAATTCTAGGAGATTTTATGCCTGCACAATGTTTAATTCATCACTTATTATTGTATTTTGATAATTTGTGGTTAAGGAAACTGGGCTATAACACAGCTACTTATTGGGATTTTTTGAAGCTGTTTTGTAGCTGTGTGTATGACCACTTCAGTAAGTACCATTCAGTAACTATCACAGGCATGCTTGAGAAGTCGGGGTTTCCTCTTAGCATTCCAAGTTCATTTTATCTATTAATTTAGCCTCATTTAATTTTATTTTTTGAATTAGCTTCCTATGTAGCTTTTGAAGGAGTGTCCTTTGTCTATTCGGGAAAATAGGGGTAGATTAATATATATTTACTATCCATAATATTTCTATTTCCCTTCCTTTTCCCTAGCATTCCTATTAATGCCCTATTTTTACTCCCTCTGTATTGTGCTCTCTAATTCTTTCTTTCCATGACCTGTCTTTTAGTTAATATTGTCTGCTGTCATTTTTATTATATGCCTTTATAGATCTTTTATGATTTTGTTTGCTTATTTTTTCTCTCATTGTATAAATGTCTAGCGCTATGGTAACAGTAGGATCATGGAGGAAGAGATGGATGTGAATGGTGGTCAGATTCAGGAGATAAGGAGGAGACTGATGAGGGATGAAGCCGGGCTTTCGGCCTGGGTGATAGAAACAGTGCAGCCCTCGGAAGGGGACGTGTCCGGTTGGGTGTAAGACAGGCTGAATGTGGAAGAGAACTGGCGACTGCCGTCTGGTCCACAGGTAACCCCGGCTTCAGGTGAGGCTGGGGGCACAGTCAGTGACTGGACGGCCTTCATACAGAATTACGATGATCCCAAATTTGAGTTCAGACCTTCACCCACTGTTTTGGTGGCATTGATGGCACACTTAATTTCTTCGTATCTGAGGTGTCCTGTAAATCGAGAATAGTAAGATTTATTTTAAAATACTTCTGGAGAAGTATTTAAGAGGGTGCATGTGATAAACAATTTCTAAACGCTTGAGGGCCTTTTGAGAGCTTGCAGACAAAGGCGCTGTGACTGTAAAGTAGTTTATTTTAGAATGGAAGTTCTGCATTAAATGTGTCCGATGAAGAGTTAAGCTATTTTTTAAAACAGGCTTCATCGCCTCTGCAGTGAAATGCCATTTCCCACTGATTTGATCAAGTGTTTTCTCCTTAAGCCTCGCTTGCGTCTTCCAGGGCGCTGTGCCTGGCATGGTAATGAGGGGCTCTGCTCTCACTGACAGCAGCTCTGGCTGCTTCTTGAGCTCTGCAGTAAGTCCTCGCTCAGTGGTCAATAGGTTTGGTGACTTTAAGAGGAGCTGATGTATAGTGAAATTTTACCATAGACTAATTGATGTAAACAAGAGCTAAGTTTCTATGGCGTCTTGTCGATACTGGAACAAATTGACGGGTGAAACAGCATCATTAGAGGCCTGCTGTACTCAGCTGCTCGCGTTTCCCTGGCAGGACGTGTGGTGTGCATCCTTAAGTGGTAGGATTTGGGGAAAGCAGTTCCGTGGAAAAGGAACGTGACAAACCAGGCTGTGGAGGAGAATCAGCTGGGGTTGCTCGCTTTTAATTGAAGTTTACTCGGAGATTCAATGAGGTGAGACTGTTATGACAGATTCCAAAACGTAATGATGGCAGAATGGAGTGGGTTCATCAAAGTCGGAGTAAATAAGAACAACAGCTCAGCGGCTCAGCATGAACAGCAGCTACAAACCCTCGGAAAACCCGGAGTGATTAACATTTGCATTGTGCAGCCCTGCTTCTCAGTGGGTACCTTTCCAAGGGAAGCAGGAACTTTGCTGTGAGAAAATAAACTCCAATTTGGAGATGTAAATTACAGGCATGCTTCAATCTTGTTTATAAACACTGAAAGTTTTAAATGTAATTATAATCCAAGCACACAACTGCAACTGAAACCAGCTTTGAGAAAGATCTCAAGTAGGTGAAGGGCCCTCTGGTCTCCCCTCACCCCTACAGACTGCCAGCACAGCCTCCCCACCTCCCCCTTCTGTGTGTTTGGGAGGGAAGAGGTGGAATTCTGTCCTCCAGTTTCAGAGCACACAAGTCCTGTCTCTCCTTCTTTAATGCCAGAGAAAGGATAGTAGTTTTAACCCTTTCTCTCCACTTCCTCTCCCATCACTTCCTGCTCTGGTCTCCACATGCGATGTCAGAAGCTAGTGAGGGAGAGACAGAGTGACCAAGTGTTGGAGAATTTGCAGCGTTGAAAGGAAGGGGGAAATTGACCCCAGCACTATCCACGTGCTTTCCTTTCAAACATGACAGTGACCTCCAGTTGAGGCAGTTCTAAACTTGAACTGGGGTTGAGGAGATGTATGTGGATTCTGCCTTGATTGCTTTTTGCCACCTGAATGATTTTGAACAAAGTCCTCCATTCGTCTGGGCCACGGTTCTCCATCTCTAGGGTCATTGAGTGGTCTAAAATGAGTTCTAGGCTTCCTTTTCATTCAGACTTTCTTTAATACCATATCTCATGCATCCACTCCATTCTAGACAGGTTCCTAGAGATTCAAACCCAATGTATTACCCTACTTAGGTTCTACTTGTTGTAACACCAGGAGTCAGAACTGTTTCAGAAAAGGCCAGAGTTTCCCTGCTGGGGACTTCCACCTTGTACCTTAAGGCCCGGATTGCCTGAGACTGTTCTTAGAAGTCCTTGGGTCTGGTCTCACCTCCTCAACTTTGCAAGGGGCCCTCCTGGTACAGAAGACCTGATGTCATTCTAGACCATCAGAGCTCACGGTTGGAGCTCCCTGAGATGACCCACCATAGTAATTCTACATACTCTAACTCTGGGGCATGTACACTACATTTCCCTCTGGGCATTCCCTTTTCAGAGTAGGGTCATGGAAACTTATAGGGTTACAGGGAGAGCTACTTATAAGAGCACCCTGTCATGTATATAAATCTACTTTCAGGAGAAGCTTAGCTTTAAGGGGTCAAACCCAAAGTTTAACTTGATGATTCTTTTCAGTGTACTGTGCATCTGGGTGAGTCCACCAGGAGACCATGAAATCAAGTTTTCCTTGATTCATTGTTTTAGGGTGGAAAATATACACCGAGAATGGAGTACTTGCTCTACCCGAATGTTACATGGTAGGAAAGGATTTAGACTTGGAAGTAGAGTAAGAGAAATAGTTGTTGGTTTAAGGATACATTTTTTTTTTTAATTGAGACCTTCATTCCCACCACTAAGTTCTAAAGATCGTTTCAAAGGGTCGCCAAGCCCCTGCCTGAGTCAGAATTTACAGGTAGCATGTGTGACGGGTTCCTCAGGCCGCCCTGGAAAGGAAGCAGGTTTGGGGCAGGTTCCAACTCTGAGCCAATTTGATCAGAGTGTCAGCATAGTGACATCTCCAGAGAAATCCGGAGTAAGTCTGGGGGGTGGAGTGGGGACTCATTAGATGTATGTCACCAAACTGTAACCTTTAAAAGAACAAAAGAAAGGGTGAGTGTAGGAGAGGGCAATGAAATAGTATTGCTAATTCTGTCATGATATCTAACACAGTTTTTCTTGATTTATAAGGATGGACATGTATGTTGTGTTCATGCACCATTAGCTGCTGTGGCTGTGCCTTACACATTTTGTTATTGATCTTTTAATAAGGAGTCTAGAATGGAATAATCTATACAAGGATAATGTTTCTTTATCTAAAAGTTCTCAAACTATTGGATTAATGACTTAAATATAAAAACTAAAACTGTAAAACTCTTCAGGTAAAATGGGTAAATCTGCATAACCTTGGATTTAGCCACAGTTTCTTAGATATGATACCAAAAATAAAACAATAAAGAAAAAAAAAACAGGTAAGTTGGACTTCATCAAAGTTAAAAATGTACATCCATGAACACTATCAAGAGAGTATAGTTATAGAATGGGAGAAAATATATACAAATCATACAGCTGACAAAAGGTCTAATATTCAGAATATAACAAGAATTCTTAGCACAAAACTATAAAAAGATAAACAATCCAATTTAAAAAATGGAAAAGGACATTTTTCCAAAGAAGATGCAAATGCCAACATGTACCTGGAGATGCTCAGCATCACTGACCAATGTGACACCACTTCGTTGCCCTGGGGTAGCTGCCACCAAAACAAGCCCGGAGGATAACAATGTCGGTGAGGATGTGGAGAAGTCGGGCCTGCTGGTGGGAATGTGAAATGGGACAGACACTGGGGAAGGCAGTTTGACAGTTCCTCAAAACGCTCAGCAGAGGACTGCCATATGGCCACCAATTCCACTTCCAGTTACATCCCAAACAAAAACCTGCACACATCAGCTCACAGACGTGCTATCACAGTAGGCAAAGTGGAAACAACAAAATGCCCGCCAGCTGATGAACGGATACACAAAGTGGTACATCCATACAGTGGAGTATGATTCAGCCACAAAAAGAGGGAAGTGCTGATATGGGGGACAACGTGGATGAACCTTGAAAGCATGATCCTAAGTGACAATGGCCAGACACAAAGTCCATGTATTTTATGATTGCATTGATATGAAATGTCCAGAATTTGTAAAGTCATAGTGACAGGAAGTAAGTTAGCGGTTATCAGAGGCTGGGAGAGGAAGGAATGGGGCTTACAGGTAGGTGCCATTGTAGGCATTTCCTCGAGTCCAAACTCCGTTGAATTTAGGAGCTAACATTCATCTTTTCTTTGTAACCATAAATCTCGTCTATCTGGCTTTAATTCCTGTGTTTTTCCTTTGCTTTCAGGAGAGTAGACCTGGAGAAACCAACAGCTGTGTGGAGGAGATAATCCGGGTAAGGATGTTCCTTTACCAATCTTACCAACGGGCTGGACGGGATTCCAGATAGAAGGCAGTCATGCGGCTGCACCTCAGAGGGCGCCGGTCGGTGTTGGGCATTACCTTTTCTGGGGGGAATCACGCAGGCTGCCTTGGTGCCTCCTTGTGAAGCCGCACTTCCTTAGAGATCCGGAGCCCTCCTCAGCCGGGTGCCGTGCCGGGGCTGAGGTGGCCCTGTGTTCACAGGATTAGCTGGGAGACAGGAACAGAGTTGAGGTGAAATACATGGTTGTGCTCCCATTTGGACCCCGGTTTTTAGAAGCATCTTTAATAATCTGTACTTTCCAATCAGGTGGGGTTGCCTTGGTATTTTTCCCCCTAAACACAACTGGAATCAGAAAGCACTCTGACGAAGTGGTGTCTCGGAGTCTGGAAATTTACTTCTGAATCGTTTTGCGTGTTATTACTTTGCGTGTTACTCTCATAAACCTGCCCTTTCGTCACCGCCATATTGAGCGGATGTCCTCCGTGAACCCTTTCATACCCAGAGGCACTTGGGCTGGGCTGTTGTCCCATGTTACTGATCTCCTGCGTGTCCAAACTTAGAGTCACGGTGTCATTTTCATCCCTTTTTTCTCTTCACTCACATTTTTAGGGGTGTAACCTAATAATTTACAGTTCTCAGAAAGCTGACACTGCATTCGGCAGAACACCAAGATAACTTAGACCAGATGGTATGGTCTTCCTTATAAAGGAAGGAAAAAAACTTCATTTTTATGTTTCTAAGTTTTGGGCACCCTACACTCTTTTTCTTGAATTTCTAGTGAATTAGGGTAATATAATTATTTGGTTGAACTTTACATTAACCATCGGATCGTTTTCTGGGACAGGATATTTTTTCTTCCTGGAAAGGATTATGTCATACGTAAATCTTGGAACTCAAGTTGACCAAAATAATGAATTAAAGTTCGATTTGTTGAATTAATACTGACTTTCGTTTTTCTGGTAGAGATTTATATAGAAAACATTTTCAAAGCGGGTAGCTTCTTTTCTGGCATTTAAGGATATGTTAAAAAATACAGGTTATATTTTTTTATCTGTTTTCTCGGTCCTGGAGAGTTTTGTTTCAGATTAAAGAACAGATAGTGTAAAATGCTGATGTACTTTTCCTATTTTTCTCTTTCAATGTACTTTCCTCCTTGAGTCCAAATATCCAGTGTTTAGGCCACCTTCCTTTGGTGGGTTATGGTGTTTCCATCTGCGAATAACCATGCCAGAGCACAGCGGGCCCTCTTGGGTGCTGCTGTTGGAAACACTGCCCCTCTCTCCTTTCCTTCTTCTCGGAGGAGATGGAAGAACTGTCATGTGACCCTTCTTCTCCATACTCCACGCAGAGCTTGAAGTTCGAGTGAGAGCCTGAGTAATGCACAGACCGAAAGGATGTAGTTAAGTAATGTACAGTGTACCCAGAATAAATTGAAGGCTGCAACCAAAGGGCAAGCTCAAAGGTGCTCAAGAACAGCTTCCCCGAGGAAGCCTCCCAAGGGGTAAAGCATTAGTGTTTTTCCTTCAGAGAGCAGGTGAGAGCCTCATTCTCCTTACCCCACTGCTACCTTCCCACGACTCTGACCCTAGTCCACCCACCGCTGCCACCGCCCACCTTGAATCGGGTGTGAGTAAAAGGGAAGGCCTGGACCGACCTGATCGTTGATTGGTTTGCGTATGCAAGGTTAAGGTTAATGGACGCGGTGCCTGCATTAGCAGACAGGGGAGCTCTCTGTAGCTCCCTCCTCCGGGAGCCCATGGGGAGTGGGCGGGGTGAGAGGAGTGCGGAGCCGGAGGAAACAGTGCTGCCAGGAGCCTTTGCCTCTCTCCTGGCCTGGCAGCCCAAGGTGTTGGTAGTTAAGGTGTTGGTATTTAGGCAGCTCCTCAAAGACCCCGTCAGTGTTCCCATTTCTCCTGGGCTGTTTTCCTGGCTGCCCCCTGCCTCGGCACACCATTCCCTCTCCGGACCGCCTTCCCTCTGCCCCGAAGCACATCCTCTCCTGCGAACACTAGCACCGCACTCTCGGCTGCAGCCTGTTGTATGTGTGTTTGTATTGGATGTGCATCAGCATTGCTCCTACACGGTGGCCCCAGAGTCTGGAATTTAGAATTACGATTTTGTTGTGGACAAGTTTCCGAGTGAGCGAGTGAAAGAACCCTCCAAAAGGGAAGGTGGGTACCATTCTGGCAGCTCACAGACGTTCTGTTGGCCGTAAACCATGGGAGCGGTGCCCTGCCCTTTCGACGCCGTCTTCTGTGGCTGGTCTTGGCGGAGCCCAGTTGTCCTTGTGAGTCTCTCTCCCCTGATCCCAGGTCACCGAAGTTACTGTTACTCACGGCCATCCCGGTTCAGTGAGAGCTCCCTTCTGTTCTGCAGGAAGACCAGGGCCATCAAAAAATGCCTTCAAATGATGAAAACTGTGATATTCATTAACGGGTTAGTATGCCCTGTCCACAACGGAGGTACTGGGGGAACAATGGTGGGCCAACCAGACATGCCCTCTTCGACTCTACAGAAATACAGCAAGTTTTTATTTTACAAATGAAGTAGAATGTTAATTGTGACAAACACGGTTTTATGGCAGCCTCCTTATCATAGGGCACATGGCCTAGTTTTGGGTCAAGAACAGCTTCCCTGAGGAAGCAACCTTGAACGGAAGTTGGAGTGTGAACAGGAAGTCAGCCTAAGGAATGCGATGCCGAGGGTTCCAAGCAGAGGAAATGCCAGAGCGTGGCTGGTCAGAGACGCAGGAAGCCGGGGCAGGCCAGAGTGGATAAAGGCAGTTAGGAGAAGCCAGATGCGCTTTGTATCGGTATTGCTCCCACACTGTGGTTCCCGCGTCTGGAATTTAGACTCCTTTCTCGGCCATGTTCAAGTTCCCATAAGCATAGGGAGCCAGTGAAGGACTCAGCCGCGAGCAGTGTCATCACGTTGGCAACGTAAATGCGTCACTGGCTGCTACGGGGAATGGATTGAGGGCAAGAGGGAGGAAGAACAGGAGTGGAGGTTGCTGCCAGTGTCCAGAGCGGAGCTGTTCTGTGGGGCACTCACAGGCATGGGGGCAGGGTGGGAGATGCTGGCTTCGAGGGAGAGAGGGAATCATAAATTATTTTTAGTCATTTTGAGTTTAAAGTACCTTTTGAGACATTCCAGTAACAAGGAGAACGTAAATGAACATACCTGGGTCTGGAGCTCAGAACAGAGGACTGAGCTGTAAATCAACATTTGGATTAATGAGCATATTGGTGATAAAACCACAGAAATGGGTGCATTTGCCTGGAGAGATCGGGGGGCCAGTGGAGGTGAGAGGGATGGTGGGAGACACTGGGGAAACTGTGACTAACACCATAGAACCCATGGAGAGAGCGTGTCAGCTCCCCGGCGCTCAGACTTTCCGAGGGGACCAGAGAGACAAGGATGGCAAACCACCCGATGGAGGGGACAAAGGACAGGAAGGTCACTGGTGACGTGCTGGAGGGCTGGTTATGTGGAGAGGCTGGGGGAGTCCGGTCCTGAGAAGACAGAGCCGGTGAGGTCTCTGAACAGTGAGAAGTCACAGGAAGGGCGCAGTGTGTGAGACAGGCCATAGCTTCCATTCACATCTCTTCTCGTTAGCAGTAGGTGTGACATCCTGTAACCACTGCCAAATGCTGGAGAGACGATGGAGACACTCACTTCCTTGCATGTGCGAACGCATTGAAGCCTCACAGTGCCCACAGGGAGGCAGTGTTAACATCCCCATTTCAAAGATGAAGACACTGAGGTGAGAAGTTAGGCATAACCTGCTCAAGGCCAAAGAGTTAGTGATGGGAGAGCTGTGATTGTAACAAGCATCTCCTGGCACCAGTACCCCGCCCCCCCCCCCCGCCAACAGCTACAGTGTTTTATTAAATTAAGAATCAACACACACACCCAAGTCCCCAGTTCATTAATGTTCAAAAATACCACCTGTGTATTTTTGCATGTTTACGATTCAGAAGTGCCAGATCATGTGTTTGTACACTTGAACTCATAGAGGTTCTCTGGCCAATATTACCAACATCATTTATTTTTTAATCCTTAGCAAGGATATTTTTTATTGGTTTTTAGAGAAAGAGGAAGGGGAGAGAGAAACATCGATGTGAGAAACATCTATCCATTGCCGCTTGTACACCCCAACCGAGAATGGAACTGGCAGCCTTCCTGTGTACGGGACAATGTTCCAACCAGCCGAATCCCCCAGCCAGGGCTCCCACTTTACTTCCAAACTTCTTTTTCCCTCGCCTCTCTAACGGTTTTTTCTGAGGTGACTGTTTTTGAGTCATTTAAATATTACATTATCTTCTAAAGGGTAATTATTTTTTATTTTTACTCAGAGCATTTTAATCCTAGGACTTAATAAATCTGTGTGCTACTGACAAACTCACTTAGCCGAGGGAGACATTAGCACCGAGCTCTGTGAAGATGGGCGTGAGGCGGGAAGCCCTCAGGCTGGCATCTGTTTATCACAGACGGGTCTCTGCGTTACACAGTATTTCACGCAAAGGCTCCGGTGTATAGTACGGAGGTGCTTTCCGTTGCATTACCCATTAGCATAGAATGGCTAACATTTGTTCAGCAAATAAAAGCCATTTACAACTTAATGGGGCTGTGCAGGGCTGGGCCCTGGGATGCACACATCTTATGCCTGCAGGTTTGGCCGGTGCGGGTGAGGGCAGCGTGCCTGACAGGGCGAGCCTGTGAAAGGGGAACCGGAGCTGGAATTCCGACTGGGACTTAAGGGGGGAATTCAGAGTCCATTTCAGTGCAGCCTCTGAGCAGTTGACCTTTTTGGCTTTCATCTCAAGACGCTAATTTAGTGGCAGTGTCCGTGAAATATTCACGGTGAATATCTACATAGAGTTGCATTTCTGTTTATCTGAAGCGGGTAACTGTGGTGATTTATGTTCTGGAGACCCAGCGCAGTTTTCTGACACAGTAACGAGACAGAC